CTAGATGCATTAGTCAAGTGTAACCATAGATGCATGGAGTGAAATTCCATGTGTATCCACTCATGGGCTTTAGAGGACTGAGATGACAATGATGATGGTGATGATGACGACGACGATGATGATAATGGTGACGATAATGATGACGATGGTAAGTAGGGGGGTGAAGGGTGGTGCTCTGTGTTTCCTGATGCATCCTCACGAGTGTATCTCCTTTTCTGTTGTCTCACTGAAGGACGGGTATGAAGATAGAGATGAAACCTGAGTCCCCATATCTCCAGGACGTGGCCCCACAGTGCCCAACTCTATCAACTTCTCATGAGATAGTAGAGCCCAGAAGTGGCCCAAATCATAGTGAAGTCATTCAGCACAGCCCAGTTCAACAGTGGGTGATGCTGGCTACGTGCCAGAATTGTATGGGCCCTGGATCATCAGGGGCTAAAACATTATAAGGTCCTTGCCCCTGAAAAGCCCATTCTATGAAAGGAGGAAGGAAGGGAGAACGAGAGAGAGAGGAAGGGAGGAGAACGATATAGAGGAACGGAAGGAGGGAGAAAGAAGTAAACAACGAATTTTATGTACTCCATTATGATACCACAACAAAAGTACACACATGTGACACAGCACACACAGTGGTCAGGAACAGGGACTCTGAAATCAGACTGGCCTACCAGTTAGCTGTGCGACTTTAAGCAAGTCAATTAACCTCTCTGTCTCTTAGTTTTGTCATCTGTAAAGTAGGAAAAGGTATCGGTACTGATTTCATCAGGTCGTGGTGAGAATTTAGGAAACTAACGTAGACAGCATGTGGAAGAACGCCCACAGAGAGCGTGGCAGGGTTAGTCGTGACAGCGATAGAGGTAGTGGTGGTGGCGGTACCGTAACCTGAGGCATCAGGAGCTCTGAGGCAGCGGTGGTCATTTCCACAGGGAATGTTAGGATGAGCTGGACAGAGAGGAGGCGCCGCCTGAGTGCCTGGGGCCTGGGGGATGTGAGCCACTGCGTGGGACAAAGGTGTGCAGCATCCCAGGCTGAGGTTGCAGCACCAGCAAAGGCCCAGAGGCCTGAGAGACGGGACAGGCAGTTCAGGGACCTGCAGGCCGTGAGGATGCTTAAGGGCGGGGGATGCATGAGGGGTGCAGGAGCTAGGAGGTGAGGCTGAGCGGGCAGGCGGGGACCACGTCATGAAGGGCTGTGTACGGCTTACTTGGAGTTGGTGCTTGGCTTGGAGCTGACGAGGAGCCATCACGGGCTTTACTCGGGATGTGGCATCCCCGTGGACACCCCTCCAAGAAGGACAGGACCAGCTCACCTCCTGGGGCCAGAAAATCCCGTGTGTTGGGGTATTGGTGAGTGTGTGTGCTGTTCCCTGCCGCCCCTCTCAGCTGCCCCTCAGCAGCCCTGAAATTTGAGAGCCTTACCCCCACCCCCACCTCTACCCCCAACTCCACCCCCAACCTACCAACTCTGGTTTCCTGGGGCCCTCAGCACCTCCTCTGCTGCCCAAGGCATATCTCATGGCTTCCCAGCACCGTCCTGAACATGGCACATCTTTATCTTTAACTAGATCTCTCAAACCCTCAGTGTCAGAATTCACTAATAGCAGAATTAAAGGCTCTAGTTGTAGAAATATCTCTCAGTTTCACAGAAGGAAACTTACAGTGGCGGGGGTTGGGGGAGGACTGGAGAAGGAGAACACCAGATAGGGGGCAAGGAGAGAGATGGCGGGGGTCCAGGCGCAGAGAGGACAGCACGCTGCCCTGGTATTTTCCTTTTTCATATGTTCCACCTCCAATTCTGCCAGACTGCCTGGACACCCGACACTGGACACTGGAGCTCCTTCCCATTTAGGGCAAAGGGAGGGGAAGTAGGAAAAAAGAGCAAGCAAGAAGGGTCAACCACCCAGATGCTTCTGGGGTCACCTGTAGGACTCCATGCCATTTAGTCCAACCCATTATTTCACAGAGGCTGAGCTCAGAGAAGGGCAGAACGGTCCGAGCCACCGAGGTTTCATTTTGGAGGTGAGTGGACAGAGGCTCAGAGACTTGCCTTGGGTCAGATGCTAATACGGGGAGCAGCTGGGATTCATACCGACCATGACCTCTTCTCTGTGACCAACCCAGCTCCTGCAAACCCAGCATTTCGGAGATGTAGGAACTACCGTTCACAGAGGAAAAGCGACTGGTCCAAAATCTGACAGTAAATCAGGGTAGATGTAGAAAGATCTGGGGCTTCTGACTCCTCTTCTGCTACAGTACACGGAATTACCCGGAATGAAGCCTCATACTTCGCAAATGCTTATTCATGGTCAGCATCCTCAATGGCAAACCGCTGTCCCGTTCCTCAGGCTGACATCCTGGCACCTGGTGAGTGTCAAGGAGAGCTCGGGTAACACCTGCGGGAGTACCAAGTCCTGGGAGGACTCTGAGCTCCCGACGTCCTCAGCAGAATTCCCACAGGCGGGTGGGCAGACACTCCTCTGTCTCTCCCTAGGACCGTCCTCTTCTCTGGGCTGGCCCTGCCCCCACCTCCACACTGTTCCTCCCCTCATCCTTAGGCCACCTACTCGGAGGAAGCAACTGGGCCACACGCTTTGCATATGGTAATTTGTGCAACCAACCTATAAGGGAGAGAGAACAAAGCTCATTCTACAGAGAAGGGCACCACAGGCTGGAAACCAGCAAACCTGGGATGCCAGCCCCTGCCAAAGCAAAGTCCCTTCTCTATACCCCTCTGTGCAGCCACCCTGCAGGGTCCAGCCTGCTGGTTACTGGGAAATGGCTAATCAGGGGCTCTGTGCTGTCACCCCGGGAGCAATTTCCTCTGTGTTCTCAACTACAGATATAAATTTTGTTTTGTTCAAAGACCTCATTAACGCCGGGGTTAGTGGGAGCAGCTTCACAAATGATTCATCTTCAGGAATCAAAGACAGCCGGAGCCCCCCTGAGCAGTCACGAGCTGAACTGCTCAGTGGGGCATCTTGGCTGCTCTCTCACCTCCCAGCTGCTTCCTATGGTCTGCAGCCAGAGCGAGGCCCTCGGGAGCCTTTCCCAGGGAGTCAGATCATGGAAGAGCAGAACTCTGGCCCTGAGAGCTTCCGGCTCCCTCTGGAATCTCCAGGGACCATACACATTTGTGTTGGCCTCAACCAGGTCCTATCTTCTAGACCCACATAGGTGGGTTGTTGAAGGTAGTGACAACCATTGCACCCTCCTAGGCACAAGGAGGGCGTGCATCCTAGGGTCGTAGGGAGACCTAGTTCTGTTACTAACTCAGCGTGTGTGACCTTTGAGCCCCTGCTCAGCCACACGAGCAGACTGACTCAGAAGTTCATCGAGGTCCCTTCCAGCTCTGATACTGACATGGCCCAGACTGCCCAGGAACTGAAACTGTCATTAAGAGGATAAAACACATTCATTCATGTAATTAGTATATATTTAGTACTTACTACCTGTCATTCATTGCGCCAAATGCTGGGGATGCAGGGGTGGCTGTGTCCGCATGCGTAAATACCCCTAATAATTGTAAGCAGCATGAGATAAGAAGCAAAGGAGGTGTAAAAAATAATAGCGCTCCGTTATGTGAATTTCCCCTCAATACAAGAAGCAATAATAGGGAATAACTTGTCTAAGATCAAAAAGGTGTGGAGTTCTCCAGGTCTAGAAGCTGTGGATTCAGTTCCTAGTTCTGTCTGCAGCACAATAAAATCTAGCCTCACATTCAGGCCTTTGTAGGCATTCAACAAAGATGCGTTAAAAGAAGGAGGGAAAGGAAGGAGTAAATGAGGGAAAAGCAGAGGGAAGAGAAGGCTAGCTCAGAAAAGAGAGGTAGGAATATCACCGTCTCCTATTACAATAGGAAACTGAAGTCCAGTCTAGAGGTTAAAGACCCACGCAGCATCACACTGGGAGCAACTGACAAATCGTTTTTTTTTTTTTTTTCCCTGAGGAAGATTAGCCCTGAGCTAACATCTGCCGCCAATCCTCCTCTTTTTGCTGAGGAAGACTGGCCCTGAGCTAACAACTGTGTCCATCTTCCTCTACTTTATGTGTGGGATGTCTGCCACAGTGTGGCTTGCCAAGCAGCGCCATGTCCACACCCGGAATCTGAACCAGGGAACCCCAGGCCGCCAAAGCACAACGTGCGCATTTAACCGCTGCGCCACCAGGCCTGCCCCATGGGAGTAACTGACAAATCTTAATTGTGGAATGAGGTCTCTGTCAACTAGGCTACTGGGAAAGGCCTCCTGGAGGCAGAGTGAATTCAAGAAGGTAAGGACTGGAATTCAGCATATCAAAAAAGCTGGAGTTGGCAGTGAGGGACCCAGGGGTGGGGAGACAGGTGGTCTTTCTTATGTATGTTCCTCATTTAGCATCAGAGAGACTTGGGGACAGCAGCTTGTGTCTGGGGGGGCCATCAGGATCCTGGCTCTGCCACATACCTGCTGCCCAGTGCCTCTGAGGAAAGCCAAGCCCTGGTTTCCTCATTTTTAACATGGTGCCTACATTCTAGATTTTTCTAAAGATGAAATGAGATAAGGCATGCACAGGGCCAGGCACAATTCCTGCTCAATAAATGTGAGTCTTTTCACTTTCTTCTCTGCAGGAGGAGAGGATGGGGGGAAGAAGGGCGGGCTGCTCAGAGTTCTTGAGCTTGAAGTCACACAGGATGAGCACTGCCTTCCTTTCTGAGGCTGATCCACCCTGCTGGCAGAGTCAATGACCGTCTATGCAGTCAGATTCAAGGCATCTAGTGCCCCTCCCTCCTGGGGGCATGCAGCCTACCCAGAACTGGGAATGAAATGCTGGAATTACTAAAAAGCTTGAGCTGAGCAATCATTTATCTGATCACTTCTTTCCAATGGTTAACTTTGCTAGGTGGTACACACCATGGAAGCTGCTCGCTTCTAAGAAGCCAGACCGCAGGTTGAGTAATTCTCCAAGCAGAAGAGATTGGCAGCTAACACCAGAATCATGTAACAGAGTAGCAGAGCCTGCTAGGACTCCTCGCTATGCTTAGGTTTTTATTTAGTTTTGTTTCCATAGCATGAGTTCATTCTTTCACACATATACTTTTTGCTGCCATTATGAAGTTCCAAGTTAAAGAGTCCATGAGCCCTGTGTACAGATACACGCCTGATGAGGAAGACACCAGTTGACCATTCATTCTGTCAGCAGAAATGATCGCGTCCCGATGACATTTGCCACACTGTGTCGGACACTGGAGGTACCAGGACGAGCAATTAAGGCGTGGTCCCCATCCTCAGGGGTTCACAGCCTCGATGGCTGAGGATCCAGTGCCCACATTTACGGATGACCAGTGGGCGGATGAACCAGCATGATTCTTCTGCAGAGCAATCTGTCTCTGTATCCAGAGTCTGCAAAGCATGCATTCCCTCTCACTACATTAATTCTTCTCTGCCAAGAAAATCATCTGAGATCTTCAAAAGAAAAGGAAAAAAACCCTGTATGTACAAAGGTGAGTATTTTTACATTAGTCTTAAGAGCAGAAAATTGAAAACAATCTTAATATCCAATAACAAGGAGTGTTTAACTAATTTACAGTACATCCACTTTATGGGATAGATCGTATTTATTAAAGAGCCTCTATAAAGAGTTTCCAGTAACGTGGAAAATGTTTAGGGCACAATATTATATAGAAAACATAGGATTCAAATTGTTCGTGCAGTAATATCACAGCCATAGAATACTTTGCACACTCATATGGTGCTTCTCAGCTTTCGAAGTAATTTCACATTACTTAATTTTTAATTAATTATTACTTTAATTTATTTATATTTAATATTTAATTTAACATTATTAATTAATTAAATTATTGATTTAATTATTGATTTAATTTGATAATTTATATATTATAATATATAAATATAAGATAATAATATAATATGTAAATATGTAAATATAAATAATATAATAAAATATATAATATAATTATTAGTAGTAATTTAATTATTAATTCATTTAACATTTAATAATTTATGATTATTACCGTAATAATTTCTTCATTTTGAGATTCACGGCAGCACTTTAACAGACGCGGGTCAGGCGTTATTATTCGCATTCTAAACCGGAGGAGAGTGAGGTCTGTGCGTCTAATACCCAAGAATTCCACGTGCGGTGGAAGCGGGGAACGTACAGCAGACTCACTACGAAAGCTTCACAAAATGCACTGAGTGTTCTTTGAGCTTGACGGCAGCTCGAGAACTTGGAGCCACTGTCTCTCCTCTTCCCATCCTCTCCGTCTGCGAGGGGAAGGTGAGAGGGCTCCCCCGACGGAATCAAAGCAATGCTTTTCCGCAAGTGCCGTCGTCTGCTTCCACCGCTGTTGAACTCTGTGAAAGTCCTCTGTGCCTTCATTCAGGTTCTGCTGTGGCCAGAAATGGTTTCCTGCTACAATATATGAAATCACCCAGCACGGGGATCCTCAGGGACAATTCCCTTTGATTCAGGCTCGATGACAAAAACAATCAGGGGCGAGTAGGAGACAGCGGCCTAAGCAAGATGGTATTTGACTCTGTGCACCTGCCATCCCTCCCCACCTTGGTCTCTCCCTCATGCATTGGCTGGCCCCTTATGCCCTAGGCTTGAGCTGCGTCCTGCTGCCTCCTGCTCCCAGGACTTATCTCATAGGTCCCACCCCTTCACCATTGCACAAGCTTCCGTTCTGCCCAGTATCTCATTTCTATGTTCTCTGCCTCCAAAGAGGCCCCTCCCTTCAAGGTCAGCTAACATGAAGTCTCTTCTGTGGCAGAGTCAGCCGCTCCATCCTCTGGTTCTCCAAACCCTGTGACATCCTCTCTTAATATTGGAGCATATTGTGTTCTGGGTTAGTTTTGTATTTCAGTCCTTCCTATGAGACTGAATGCTCGGTCTAAGATCTAGATCTTTTCTAATCGCAATCTTATAGATGAGAAGCAGGGGCAAATACATATTCAGGGTAAAACAGCTAGTAAACGGCAAGCCCACATTTGAGCTCACATCTACTTATGTGACCCCAGCTCTTGGCATTATACCCAACCAGGCCATCCATGTCCGAATGAATGAATGAATGAATTAGCGAAAGATATTCCTGAACAGTATCCCCACCCACACACACCTTCTCTCTGGTGACACAGGATGTCATAACTCAGAGAAGAGGCCTGATGGAAGAGGACCCAACTTCAGCTCCTGGAGTCTGCACTCACCCTCTGCTATGGTCTATTCTTATGAGAATCTGCTAGAACCAGAAAGGACTCTCAAGATTACCTAGGCTGCTGTTCTTTTTAAATTATCCTTTAATCAGGAGTTGATTTCCTTCTCCCGTCTCTTTCAAGCCTCCCGGAACTGTTTAAGGAGAAAGTTTCAAAGTCATATTAATATGCCTCTAACAAGTCTCCAAACATTTGCTAATTTCCCTTTTTAACAAAGAGAGAACAAGTGTTGGGCACAGAGCCTTGGCAGAAACATCTAGTTACAAGTTGGCAACATTGTTTTGTTTTCATTATACTCATTTTTACAGTTACCTTCTATTTACAGTGAGCGATAATACCTTACCATTTATGTAGTGATTTAAAGTGCCCATTATAAATACACACATTTATGGAAGAAAAGAGAGTCAATTTAAAGAAAAATTTTGGATATACAATAGTATAGGAGGCATGCAGATACAGAAGAAATCACGCAAGTATGGAATGAACCCAATGTTTGGGAAATGCCTATTAAGTCCAACCGCCTATTTTGCAGGTGGAACAGAGGCCCAGAAAGGGCAGGTGGTTTGCCAGAGATCACCCAGTCAGCTCCTGGCTCAGTTCTCCCTACATTCCTCTGCCATCTCTCTAAGAGCTCTTTCTATATTTATTTTGTGAAAATAAAAGAAAATGTCCAACCAAAAAGTTCTATTGATGGTAAGGGACACAGGGGCTGGGGATTGGCAAACGGGGCTGTGTCCCGGATTTCCCAGCAGTGTAAGGCGTCCTATGCTCTGGGCGGGGTCAGCAGGGTGGCGGGTACCTTCGTGGCATCACTGATCACTCATTGACTGAGTAGAGCTCAGGGAGAAACAGACCATTAGGAGCTTACAATGCAGAGGAACAGTCATAGCTTATAAAACACAGCATTAATAAAGACCACAAAGAGATACCTAAGAGATGAAAATCAGTTTCTCTGCCTCTGTAAATAAATCCATGGCTTGCGAACAAAAACACGCCAGAAAAACTGACTGTAAATGCACTCGTAGAAGAGGAGACCAGATGTCCCTGGAATCTTTTTAATTAAATTGTGAGTCAATTGCAAGCCAGAGGGTGGGGGGCTGAGGAGAGTCGAATTTTGCTTTCTAAGACTGCCAGATGCAAAGTCCAATTTCCAGGATAATATATCCAGGGTGGAGGAGGCTTTCCAAAATTTAATTACATATTGCCTAGCAACTGAGGAGAAGAACAGGAAGAAAGTTGAGGGACCTGGGGTGATGCATTAAAGATGCTGACGCCCCGGGCTGGAGAACGCACATCGACACTAGGCTGTGGTCAAGAGCCACGGGAGTAGGTTTCAGTTACGTGGATTGTCACCCTCCTTCTGCTCTGTCTCCCTTGGGCTGGCCGAACCAGCAACCTGGCAGAATTAGGACCCCACTTTCTGCATCTTTTACAATGGAAGCATCTTTTATTTTTCTATAAAGTAATAGATACTGTTAAAAATTCAACAGTATAGAAATATATAAGGCAGAAGGTGAAAACTCTCCTGCCAAGGAGAGCCACTATTAACATCTTGATGCACGAATTTCCAGAATTTTCCAATCATAGGTAATCTCTCTTTCTAATCTAAATGAGATATTATATGTTGTTCTGTAATCTGCTTTCTTTCCTCTAATACATGGTGGATGTTCTTTTTTAAGAAACTTTTGTTCTTTATTGAAATATGATAAACATATAGAAAAGTCCACAAAATAATGGCACCGCCATGGAGGACAACACATAGACCATTCCCAGCCTCTGTCTCCCCAACCCAATTCTCTCATATCCTTGCCTAATCTTCAAGGGTAATCACTCTCCCAACTGAAAAGATATATTAGTTTTGCCTGACTTTGAACTTCATACAGAAGGAATCATACACTATTCATTCTTTCGTGTCTGAATTATTTGCACAACATTTTGTGAGATTCATTCATACAGTTCTTTGTAGCCGTGTTTCGCTTTTTTTTATACTACTCCAATGTATGGTTATATAATAATTGATTTATCCATTCCAATGTTGATGAATTCTTAGGTTGTCTCCAGTCTGAAGCCACTAGTAATACAGATGCTTTGTGTATTCCTTTTGGTACACTTGTAAAGCCTTTCTCCTGGTTATATATCGAGGAGTGAAACTGCCACTTTTTAAAGATTTGTATCAATTTACACTCCCCACATCAGTTTAGGAAAGTTCCAAAATTCATCCTTTTAAATGTCTGCTTCGTATTTTATTGTATGGATATACCCATAGTTTTCTATTGACGGAAACTCTGGGTTTTCCAATTCTACACACTTTTTTTTCACTTAAAACAATGCTTCCATGAATATCCTTTTACATTTATCTTTAAACGCTTATGCAATTATTCCTCAGAATGAATTCTTAGGAGTGAGGTTTGGGGGTCAAGGAGTATGCGCATGTAAAATTTTCATATTCCTGGGTTTCCTGATTTTCCTTTCTCAGTTAATTTCCTGCAACCCCATGATCCTTTGGGCTGTTTCTGAATTTCACCTCTCTATTTGCTTTCTTGCACACACTCCAGTTACCAGTTATCTCATAAAATATGGGCCCAGCACTGATCTCTGTAGCTCGTGGGGCAGTCTCAAATGGACTTGGTGAAAAAGAGAGGTCTAGAAATGCCATGGACCGAGACATGGAGAGCACAGTTCACAAAATCTACTCCCGGGCCTAAGAAGGAGCCAGTCTCTAACATGTGCTTCTGCAAGTTTGTCTGCACAATCAATAGCTTAGAGTAGGCAACTTTGGACCCAAAGAACATCATTCATTTGGATCCCAGAGATTTCTAGATGTGTGGTCTTTTGGACACATCAGTCACATGGGAAGAAAAGAGCATTAATGTGAATGCTGACACTCAGACATTTGTCAAGAGATATATGTGCCAGCTGTTATTCTAGACATTGCTTCTCCAAAGACAGTATCTCGGGAACAGAGAGTTAGGGTAAAAATTCTGTAGTGGACATATGACGTGTTATGTGAACACAGAGGAAGGAACAAATATTTTCAGAAGCAACAGAAAAACCTTCACAGAAAATTCATATATTTGCTGCTATATCTTGGTCAGGCTGGGTGAGGATCACCCAGTTTTAAGTGGGACATGAGCAGTGCCAGGTAATTCTCTTTCCTGAGCCCCTCCAACGCACTAAGACCTATTATTTGGTGACGTTTCATTTAGGCTCTCTCTTTAAATTTTTACAATAACCTGGTATATTTATTGTTCTCCCCCATTTCTCAGATGAAGAATTTAAGGCCCAAAGAGAATAAAATGAAATTGCCACGGTCGCACAGCTAGTCAAGGAGAAGCAGAATTGGAAGCCGACTCTGTCAAATTAAAACTCCAGGCTGTTTTTTGTCATCCAGAAGACACTTTAACAAAGAGCAGAGCAAAAGCCCAATTAGAGAGGGTTTAAGGATGATCACGGATGCAGGCAGGCAGTGGGACACAGAGAGGGGAGGCTGGTCGCTGTTAGAGGAGCTGAGGTTCCACAGGGAGACGCCTCTTAGCGGGTGGGCACAGTGGTGTTCTGGAGCCCTGTGGAGAGGTCTGGCTTGCAGCCGCTCTGACAGCTGCCTGAAGGCTTCTGGCGCCACAGGTAGAAGCCACAGAGGTGCCCTCCCTGTGCTCACCTCTGCGTCCTCACAGCCAGGGCATTCCGTGGGGAGCACCTTGATTAGGCAGACCAGACGGTGCAAAGGATGCTAATGGCCTCGTTGCACGGAGATCTGGCACTGCTGTCACCTTCCGAAAGTAGAGGTGCGACATGGGGTTTAGGGAGAGCAACGCTAATAGGTTCTTCCTAAAGAGACTTCTAGAAGTAGCAAAGCTGAGGCTTGAACTCACATCTCCCAGCCCGTGGTTTCCATGTGAGAAGGGTCTTCCACGGTGAGTCCCTGAAGCTGTTGGCTCCTGGCAAGTGCCAGGGACATTTTTTTCTCTGAGCTATGAAAGTACTATTGATAGTTATACATTTATACACTAATCAAATTTCATTTATTCATTTATTTACTTATTTGACAAATATTTATAGCAAAGGCCAGAATTTTTCAAATTTTCTATTCATTTAATTTTATTTTTTTTGGTGAATAAAGAGACATTAAATATTTCAGGCTCATGAGCCATATGGTTTGTGTAGCAACTACTCCTCTCTGCCACGCTATCATGAATGCAGCCTGAGATAATATGTGAATGAATCAGTGTGTCTGTGTTCCAATAAAACTTTATTTACAAAAACAAATGACATGGGACATAGAATAGCCACATGCAAAAGAATAAAGTTGGACCCCTACCTCACAGTAAATACAAAAATTAACTCAAAATGGATTAAAGACTTCAATATAAGAGCTGAAACTGTAAAATCCCAGAAAAAAACATAGGCATAAATCTTTATGACCTTAAATTAGACAGCGGTTTTTAGATGTGACACCAAAAACATAAGCAACAAAGGAAAAAAATAGATAAATTAGGCTTTGTCAAAATTAAAACTTTTGTGCTACAAAGGATATCATCAAGAAAGTGAAAAGACAAGCCATAGACTGGGAGAAAATATTTGCAAACCATATATCTGATCAGCGATTTGTATCTAAAATATGTAAAGAACTCTTACAACACAATAATAAAAAGGCAAGTCATCCAATTAAAAAATGAACAAAGGATCTGAAGAGACATTTCTCCAAAGAAGATATAGAGACAGCCAACAAGCACATGAAAAGATGCTCCAGATCATCAACCATCAGGGAAATGCAAATCAAAACCCACAATGAGGTAGCACTTCACACCCAGGAGGATGGCTACAATCAAAACGACAGATGCTAACAAGTATTCTTGAGGATGCAGAGAAAGTGAAACCCTCACACACTGCTGGGGGGAATGTAAGATGTCACAGGTGTTGTAGAAAACACTCTGGTGGTTCCTCAAAAGGTTAAACATGGAGTTATCATATGACCCAGCCACGCTAGGTATATATCCAAGACAAATAAAAACATACGTCTACGTAAAACTTGTACATGACTGTTCCTAGTAGGATTATCCATGACAGCCAAAATTGGAAGCAACCCAAATATCCATCACCTGATGAACGGACAAATAAAATGAGGTAAATCTATATAATGGAATATTATTCAGCCATAAAAAGGAATGGATGCAGAGCCATGTTATTATAACATGAGTGCACCTTGAAATCAATGTGCTAAGTGAAAGAATCCGGTGACAAAAGACTACATATTGTATGATTCTGTTTATATGAACTGTCAGGATCAGGTAAATCTACAGGGACAGAATTCAGATTAGTGGTTGCCTAGGGCTAGGGGTGAGGGGTTAGAGGGAAACGGGGAGTGACTGCTAAGGGAAGGAATCATTTCTAATTGGCACACAATTAGTAACTAATAGGCGCTTCAAAGGAAAACGGGGGGGGGGGGGGGGGGGAGAGAGAGAGAGGAACGACAGGGTGATGCAGAGCCTGTGGGCCATGATGAGGAATTCTGGATTTTTCTAAGTGCTTTGTCAGAGGCTCCCTCTGGCTGCTGTTTGGAGAATGGGTTGGGAGAGGACAAGAATGGAAAGAGACCATCAGGGAGGTTGATGGAATGACAGAGATCAAGGAGGCAGGACAACAGGTCATGAAGATGGAGGGACCGTGATTTGGAGGGAGAAATCAAGAAGTCCCTAGTTTTCTGATTAAGCAGCGGATGGAGGGAAGTGTGACATTCTGAATGAATTTATTGGGGTGGGGGTTTTGGGGGGGTGCAGAATCCCAGGCCCAAGAAGGTCCAAATGTTGAGCACTCTCAGAACTGACTTTCCCCATCTGCACAATTGCAACAATGCTGACCTTGTTGGGTTGTCCTGAGGATTAAATGAGTTAATATCTGTAAAGCTCTTGGGGCAGTGCTTGGCACAGATAAACTCAGAATAAGTGCTGAACAGAATATACTCTGATAGCCAAGGACTGCAAAAAACATGCCTCGGTGGGAAGAGAGGAGCTGGGAAAGGCAAGACCCTCCCCGTGCAAACTGTCCCAGCTGCCCGCCCCTGGCCCCATGGGATGTTGGCCGAGGCCTGAGTGTCTTGGCCTCAGTCACTGTTTAGAACGGATCCCTGGAGCTGGACTCCTGCATTTAATTCCAACCATGCAACTTTGAGCAAGCTACCTAATTGCTCAGTTGTGCCTCAGTTTCCTCCCCTGTAGAATGTGCAGAACTGTACATATCTCATTGTAAGGATTCAGTGAGTCAATACATGCAAAGTTCTCAGAGCAGTGCCTGCCCTGGACGTGTCTGTCACTCTGCTTTGGGACTCAGGGCTGGTCCTCACTACAGGAAAGAGGTGCGAAGCTTTGTCATTAACAGGTGGTGTCCCCTTAGGGAAGTTGCTGCACCTGCCGGAGCTGCTTTTCCTCGTGTGAGAGATTCCATGATGGATTCAGTGACAGCCCCCTGCCTCGTCCTTCTTTCCCGGAGGCACATGAGCACATGGCGCTC